TTGTTTATAAAAAATACATTAAGGGAGAGAAACTACTCACCAATATAAATTGCTTGCTCACCAAAACAAAATGAAGGGAAATATAGAGAGAGCTCAACTAAATACCAAATGGTGTGATTAAAGGCAATTTAGCGCGAAACATACTAAAGGAATGCTTGACATTATTTATGATGTTCTTCTACATCATAGGTAGTAATTATACATAGGACTTTAGGCAGGTTTAGTTTTCGTTAGACAAGTTTAGTTTGTATTTTGATCGAGTCTGTAACCACAGTATTCATAAAATTTGGAGGTACTGTCCTAAAAAAGAGGTTAGTAATTAAAGCCTTGGTATGAAATGCTTAGTATTCTTATGACGCTCTAGTGTCATCTTCTACAATGTGAAAATTACTATTTTTAATGACAATATCATCATTTATTCCACGGCATAGATGATATGACGTACTTGTGAATAAGTTATCAGTTTCATATTGCATGTAATTGTTTTTTTACTAACATTAATCGTCCTAGCTAATGTGCTCGAATAAAGGAACCAAATTTTATGAATAAATCCTGAACACTCATAAATAGAGAAAAGTTACAATGTTCTTGTGATCTTTACTTCATATTGTGGTATAATTTTTTATTTTCTCCAACAATTTGGTATTGAAGAAATCCAGTATCATCTCGCTTTCTACTACATTATTCATGAAAGGGAGATCATCATGCATCAATGTCATGGCGTGGATCATCTCAATAACACAGTCTGAAGGCATTGCAGTGGATTCTTGCTCTCCCAAAAGCTCACAAGACGCAATACAGATCATGGGCCTAACCCTTTTGCCACCTACAAGAAGGGAGTACCTCATGGATTAATGAATCTAGAAAGGTTCCTCCCAGAAATACTGTTTCTTTCAAGGCCTTATTCAAAGTACTATCCTTTGCATGCAAGTAGGCCTTGATATTGAATGTACTTTTGATCTCTTCTTTCTGTTCTTTGGTGAGGATTGTTTATATGGAAATTGAAGAAAAAATAAAGGGTTTGGAAATTTGAATCTATTGCTCATTCTGGCTTACTATCCCAAATCTCCTCCTCTAGGTGTACTTGTGTGATTATTGATTCGTAAAGATTGGATTAAAAACCATTCTCGAATGCGGCCAGGGAAGGATTGAGGAGAATTAGTAATGTCTTAATACAAGAAGTCATTGATAAACTTCTTGGATTAGAAGCTGAATGATTAGAGAAATAAGAGAGGAAATTGAGTCCCATTGGGTAGCCCTTTATGAAGAATGGACAACGTGTTTGTTTTGTTTTGTTTCATCTGTGCTTTTTAATTGGGTTTACTTTTTTTTTTTTTGTTGAAATAAGCATTTTAATATTGGCAGGTTGAAGTTTACCCTAACAGATACAGTTTTCTGTATTGCTGACAGATCTAAAAATATGTTCCCCTCATCATCTGTTATCTTCTTTTACTGTGAAAATTTCAAGAATCAAAACAATTTTCTTGTTCCCTTTATACTTTCATGTTATACTCCTGTAATTTAATTTTATATTCATTGCTCTGTATATTT